TATTTCTCATCTATACATTTGCTTTCATTTGTATGCAGAAACTGCAGAAACTGCAAGTTACCAGGCGAGATAACAATGGCCGATCTGCCTGACAACATGGTGAGGCTCCGATGTGCATGTGGACCTAACATAGGATGTATTAGCGTCACATGGTAAATAAAGGTAATGTGCAAAAAAGGTTAAAAAAGTTATTAAAGTCTATAGACAATTTTCTGTCAGGTTACCTAAATTCAAATCATTTGCACTCATCAATGCACTCATCTGGGACAATGCTCTTAATAAACTTTAGACACAGCAACTGTAATTCAAGCATTTAGCCACTAGAGGTCAGACTGACCTAATGCTTAAACACATAGCACCCAACAATTTCTATTCCTGAAGCAGTTGCATTGCTGCATGTGAGAGGCCTTTAACACTGCGCACCATGTTTAGCATATTACCAGTCAACAGCTTATTGTTTGGTGAAGCAGAATCAAGAGAAATGAGAAGATAATGTTGCATGTTTAGAAAAATGAACAAAAACAAAGGTATTTTATGTAATAACCCATTACTGTACAAGGTTAAGTTACAGCAGCTTTTGCTGTGTCATCAAATTTGAGAGAGCACTTAATTCCAGCGATTCAACTTATCTGACAGCAAGCACCTCTCAGCTGTGAAGTCCTTGAACATGTTTCCAAATCCCTATCGGCTTGTGGAGCAGCTCTGAACAGATGACCACATGTTTTACCCTTGTGGACAGCAGCAGGGAAAAAAGATGAATATCTCCTTTAGGGATCAATATACTATCACAAGCTCACCAGCCCTGCCAAAGATCATCAGTCATCTTGGCATGCGTTTGGTCATAGCTACAGAGTTTTTGCCAAGACCTTCTTTCTAGTTGAGGCCCAAAAAATCCTCACGAGGGTCCTTCGTTTCACAAAGTCCACCAAGGCACCACATGATACGTGTTAGCATCACCTTTAATCAACTTTACAGTAGTGAGGCAGTCAACTCAGAGGCGGCGGTCTCTGGAGAGCTACGTGACCAGGCTTCGACAGAGGATCAGAAATGCATTCGTTTCTTTGAATTACTGCCATAGACCAAAGTGTCAAGCCACAGAGCCTGTGAGGGGTCATCACAGACCATCAGCATCCTGCTTTCTGGTTATATTTATTACTACTCTCCTGGGTCATGTCTGTTGAACTCTGCCTTCTAAAAATGGTGTTCCCAAACCAAACTGCATTCATAATTACTTTGCAAGAAGACCCATTTTCTCTAGCACAAGACTGTCATACACCAGATGAAGGATCAGCTACCATGTGAGGGCGTTTTTCTTTCAGATTTTCTTTTCACTTTCCACTGTGCTCCAGATGTAGCTCACGAGGAAGAATGGGTTGTCTGCAACTCGGGAGGTCGGTGGTCTGATTCCAAACTCCTGTAGAGTATGATTAAGCAAGATACTGAACCCTGAGTTGCCCCTAATGTATCTATTAGACCAGGGGTGGCCAACTCCAGGCCTCGAGAGCCGGTGTCCTGTACGTTTTAGATGTGTCCTTGATCCATCAGAGCTGATTTAAATGGCTAAATTACCTCCTCAACATTTCTTGAAGTTCTCCAGAGGCTGGTAATGAACTAATCATTTGATTCAGGTCTGTCGAGCCAGGGTGTTATCTAAAACCTGCAGGACACCTGCTCTCGAGGCCTGGAGTTGGCCACCCCTGTATTAGACTGTAAATTTGTGGATGTTAGGTTAAAAACACGTACGCATAGAATAAAGAAAACATATATATGTGAATGGGTAAATGACCACTGTGGCAGAAATTACCTTGAATGCTCAAATAGGGCAAAAAAGTGTTATATCAGAACCAGTCCGTCACATTTGGGCACAAAATTAAGGTGCTTAATTCAAAATTAAGCACCTTAAATTTTGTGCTTTTGTTACGCACCTTTGAAGCTTCTACCTGAGCATGCAGAGTCCTGCCTCATTTAATATAGGAGCTCTTGCCTGAAAACACTCAGAAAGACACAAAAGGAACAAGTATGCCTAAAACATATACAGTTTCCATCTAATTTTGTTACATAATTATACTGTAATATCTATGAGAAATTTACTTGGTTGGTATCGTTCAGTTTATATCAAGCATATTTTTCTTGATTAATTACTGGACCAGACAAATATTTATATTTTTCTGTTGCATTTTAGTAAAACAAATATTATGTCATGTCATGTTATGAGGGCAAAGAAAGTGTTTTTGAGTGAAGGAAAGATACCATAAATGACAAGTATTTTGATTCTAAATATCTAATAATCATTAAAAGCAAACGGTATTAAAACTATACTGACAACGCTGTTCAGCTGATTGGAAATTTTTTGCAACACAAAAGAAAAGAAAAACTTTGTGTTTAAATAATATTTTCTAAAGATTTCTCTTATATATTAGCAGACTCACAAAAGCCAATTCAAGCTCAGGACCCTCCTGCAGTGAGGCGACAGCGTCACGGTTGCCGTGACGAAAAATTACATTAAAAGAGCAATTAATTTGATAAAATGCCCAGCTTTGAAACCGAACACCTAAAATGTCGCAGCTTCAGTCTGTGTAACCACGCGGGAATCGCTGACACACAGTGAAAAAGAAATGCGACCCTCTGAATGACCCTGGTGAACGGATCCTGCTAACAAGCAGAAGTGTCTCACTGCTGTGACAGGAGAGTGGAGAGCACAGACTTGCGTAGATGTGTGTGTCACCACAGAGCAACAGCTCTAAGGAGACCGAAGAGAGACTGAAGCACTATTACTAGAAACCATGTTTGTCACAAGGAAATAAAAAGACTGCACTGCAGGTTGCCGTTCCTCAAAGAAGTACTGCTTGACAATCATTTGTTAGCTATGAAACTTTTTTGTAGTATTAGCTGTAACACAGAACTGTCGCGATTCAGATTTGAATGACATAAACGGTGTACGTGATGCTTTAAATCTACAAGTGTGACCATAAGGTACTTTACTCAAGAGAATCACCACGCAGATAAACATTACTACAACACACAGACAAACTGCGAGGAACAAGTGACAGACGGTAGCAGAGGGAATGCTTCATCACAAAAAATATTCAGACAACACATTCAGTTTAGAAAGAGGCATTACATCCTGCATCTGCACGTACAGAATGACAAGCTCTCAGAGCCTCCACTGAATTAAACTTTACATCAGGTGTTCTTTCCACTGACACTCATCCATCTCAAGTCATGGTGGCAGAACTGGCGTGGAGGAACGTAAACACACACATGCACTCCTGACACAGGCGAAGTAAATCAAATGAGCCACTTTGCGATTCTACGCTTGTCAGAGAGAACAACAAGACTCGCTAGCTGAAAACATCTGGCATTCCAGTGCAAACAGGAAGAGCAGATTCTTTTAACATCTACTAAAGTGCTCTTTAGTGTAAATCAAACCAAATTCCACTGCATACACAACGCATGCCTCTGCAGGTGTGCGTATATACAATGCTTTCCATCAGTTCAAGTCAACCCTGTTACACGTTGAAGAAAATGTACATTTTTATATCTTTAGTTAACTTTAGGGCAACAGAATCTCTGCAACCATAAGAGAAAAGAGAAATTATCCAGTGAACAGCAGTTCTCTGGGTCTTGTTGATGCACGATGTAAGAAGGGAATAGCAAGACTGCTTTGAGCTGACTGGAAATCAAGAGTAACTCAAATAACCATAACTTGGTTTACAACCAAGGCATGTGGAAGAGCATCTCTGAACGCACAACACATGAAACCATGAACCAGACAGGCTACAACAAAGCCGAGACCACACTAGGTGCCACTTCGGTCAAAATGAGGTTACAGTCCACACAAACTCGCTAAACTGGAAATAGAAGATTAGAAAACCATTGCCTGGTTGATGAGAGTCAATTTCTGCTGCAACATTTAGAGGTCAGAATCTGCTGTAAAGGATGATGAAAGCATGGATCCATCCTGCCTTAGATGAACTTCAGGCTGCTGCTTGTGGTTTAATGATATGGAGGATATTTTCTTAGCACAATTTGGGCTCCTTAGTACCAGCTGAGCATCGTTTAAATGCCAAAGCCCACCTGAGTATTGTTACAGACCATGTCCAACTCTTTTTTTAATGGCTCAACTTAGATTCTCATTGAATTCAGTGTAATCAAAAGGCCTCCACAGTCACCAGATCTCAGTCCAATGGAGCACCTTTGGGATGTGGTGAAACAGGTCATTCACATTATGGATGTTGAGGCATTTATTATTTTTAATTCACCAAATACAAATTCCAAGTAACACACACGCCTTGATATTGTGCATCCAAACTGTGTGTGCTTAGGAAGGGCAGATGTAGTGCATGCTCTTTGCATGAGTAGGTAGGTGGCTTGTGGGAAATTTGTGTACAGGGCTCATGGCCATGATAATCCATCCATGTTTGCCATTAAGCACTTTCCCACTTTTAGCAACATTTTTTCCCTACAACTCATAGAAAATGTGTCAGAACACAGTGAATTTGACTGTATGCAGGTGGCCAAAGAAAGCAGCTGCAGTAATAGTAGTGCTGTAAAAGAACCAATTTCCCTTTTTTCCCACCTAAAAAAAAGCAGGAGGCACAACATCAACTGAACATGCCATAAGCCTTCAAAGTAAAGTATTTTTTTAGTTGTGCTACGAGGTGTTTCTTCCAGTTGTGCAAAAATACACAATATGCATATTTTTTGTTTCCACATAGCCTAAAAAAATATATAGTGAAAAATGTGTAGTTTCATCTGCAGACTTCATTTTAGTGTTATCTGAAATTGCAGTTCAGAGGTTTGCCAAATGCATCACATAAAAACACTCATACATGCAGACTCATAATCAGCAGTAGGATCAATGGTAGTTTTACACTGGAAAAACTAATGGACTGCATCTGCCTCGGAAAACCGTTCACTCTGCTCTATTACACAACAAATTTTTCACAGATTTGTAACTTGTGACTTTGTATGTAAGTCGTATCGGGCTGTGAGATTACCCAGAAGCTCCATGGCATCATCCTCGTCCTCGATCTCCTCTTCCACAACAGAGGGGGTGGGGCTGTGGACTGAATCAAAGGAGTCCTGGGACAGCATGGCAGCCAGAAGCTTCTTATGATGATGCTGCTGCTCCTTTAGCCCTTTGCTCTTCGCTTCCATCTTCAGGCTAAAAGTGAAATAAAAAAGTCTTAGCAAGAAAAATAGCATAAAGTAATACTTTTCAACCCTCATACAAACTGAATCACAATTAAATACTTATTAGCAAGTAATTACATTGTCGCTCACTTCTGTAAAGCATTTTAAAGTTGAATAGGTCATGAATCTGAAGCTATTATCTTCTGCAATAATATGCTTTGAGTTTCTGGGAAACACATGGAGAAAAATAACGTGTTTTATAATAACAGTGTTCCGACAGTAATTACATACTCTCATCCTAATCTGTTAGAGTTGTATCTAAGCAGACTCGAGCTTCCTAGCAAAAACAAAATAATGCATCTGCCCCAGTGCTATGCACATGCATGACTATACTTAAAAAGGTGTTTCACCAATCATTGCACTTGGTAGTCATTCCATGGCTGGCACAGACAAAACAGAGTACAGTTATATGAAGTGTCATGTAGGTGCAGTGCACCTTGCTATACCTGGGTAGCAGGAAGTAGATAAGACAAGATAATTGCTCTGAGGTGAGCAACAGAGCAAAAGTTAAACACTACCCACAAACCATTAGGCGTTTAGAGGATGTCAAGTTGAAAAGGGAATCTAAGCTCAGGATTTATAAGCATGTAGGTGTTGAAAGCACCCCCTGCAGTTTTTACCCAACGGGGGAGCCAATGATCAAATCCAAACGAGTTACTTACTGCTTGAATCTTTTAAATATTCAAGAATGGAAAAGATATATCTTTTTTTTAAAGGATCGTTAAATATTTATAAAATCTGAATACTATATTTCTAATATTATTTCTTCTTATATAATAGCCAATAGTATTACTGCTTTGTTCCAGCACGTCTGGCTTCTGTTTACATTTCAACATTGTCTTCAGCCTCCACTATTTGTTTTATCATAAAGGCGTACGCTAACATTTCCCACATGGTAATTTATAAACATTACGTGCTGATTGCCACAGATTTATCCATGGAAATCACGATAAAGCCATCCATACGTCAACATTTGTGGAAAGAGGATCACAGTTCTGAGACTGTATTCAATTAAAATAATAACTGGATGAAAAAAAAAAAGAATGCTTTTCTTCATATTTCTGTTCCCACACACAACAGCGTCTTCATTTTCCTTTACAGTTAAGAGATACACATACCACACTGAAGGCTGGCTTCCTCTTACCTCTATATTGGCGAAATTAATTTTCATATCCCAGTGGCCGAGGGCGTGGATTATAGGGGTGGAAGAGAATTAATTTGATGCTAATCTCAGTTTAATGACTTCTATTTACAGCTAATGTGAAAGGGTCAAAAGATATTTCTTCATACCCTCCGTGTGGTATTTATGCTAATAGTATCTGCTAATACGAGTAGTGTGGTTGGTATGGGGTGTTTTTTACAGCTTTTGTCTTTGGATGAAGAAAAAAACAAAAAAAAAGTTGGACCATTTCGCTGTGATTGCAAACAGTCAGGTTTAACCTGAGGCTAAACTTTCCAACATTGCGGCGAGAATCTAAGATGAGAACAGCAAACAAAGCAGGAAAGTAATAATTGTGAAAAATAGAAGTAAACAAAAAAAGAGAGAGGCTGCTCGGCTAGCTTGTGTGGAGACAGTGTTATTACTTTTATGTGTTGTATAATGGGCCCACATCTAATATGAAAATCTCAGGCCCACTGTGCCTCCCTGTAGCTGTCCCAGAGTCAGCAATTCTTTTTCACCACAGGAGCCAAAACATTAAACACAATAAATATGACAAAAAATGCAGCTTTACGGCACTCTCTCTTCCTGTCTGAGTGACCAATAAGTAATCAGAACCCATAGAAGCTAATGTCTTTATATTTTTGTTAACAGAAAAAAACTTGTGTTCCTGCTATACGTTAAATGTGGAAGCCTCGCTCCACCGGAACTCCTTGAATAAACTTTGGCCACAGTTCGTTCTTGATTTCCCAAGTGCACTTTGCACTTATCCCTCTGGAAACTGCAGCCCATCATACAGAGAATGGACACAACCTGTCACTATCTCTTATGGTCATAAATGACAGGTGGGCTGGAATGAGGGACAGAAGCAAAAGTTTGTAAGTGAAAGCAAGTAAACTTGCAAAAGTCAGAGGAGGAAGATGGACTGCCTAGACGAAAAAGGTCAAATGCATGAGGAAGAAATAAAAACATATGTGCTTTCAGATTGCAGATAGAAGTTTTAATTCATTTTTTTGGCAGAGCTTAGTTGAAAATGTTAAAATTTTCATTGGGAGTGTCTCGGATGGACAGGAGTACAAATGAGTATATCAGAAGGACAGCTCTTTGGGAGGTTGAGCAGACAACGTTGGAGAGGTTAGAGAGCGGTGAGCATGGAAAAAGAAGACCACAGAGGAGGTTCATGGATGTCGTGATGGGGGACATGCAGAGGGTTGGTGTGACAGAAGAGCAGGGTGGGGGAGATGAAGTCATATGAACCGCTGACTCCTAAAGGAAGCAGCCAAAAGAAGAAGAAACTGAACGCCTATGAGCACCATGAAGGGACGCCCCATTAAAGTTCACATGGGATTTTAAGCGAGGGCACTGCTAGTCTTTGCCAGCTTTCCATTACATCAGTGGTCATTTTTAGCTTCTCTAATTATAAACCCAACCAGTGGATTTAAAAATCTCTAGCCACGAAATTTTATGTCATTTAGTATTATGACTTTTAATAGAAACATGACACTAGGCTGGGTCAAAAAACTGCTTGGAATAATTGAAAGTGATGTGGATCCCCAAACAGAATGTGATAAGGGAGCAAGTTCCCAGTAAATGCAATTAAGAGTTGATATAAATGATCTATGTGATGAGCCAGGTACTCCTGTAGTTAATGAGAGAAGAGGCTGTGATTATATTGGGACACGACACCACCCCAAACAAACAGCGGCTCGCGTTTCTCACAGTCTTAATAGGTAAATACAAAACATCTCACTTACACGCACACACACAGAGCAGAGCTCATCAGTGAGCCCACACACACATCCCTATCTCCCAGCTCAGGGTTTAAACTAAGTGATTTCTCCCTATAATCCACCCATACAGTAACCTAATGAGATTAACACTGTGTGTATGTCAGCTCAGGCCTGAACATGATTTATGGTTTTATATCCATTCCTCCTTTAATTTGTCATATCAGAAGCACATGCATGCACTTGTGTGTGCGCACTAACACACATGCGCAGCCCTTGTCTTATCCATGTGGGGGGTAACTTGTTGGCATAATGCATTCCCAGAAGCAGAATATTTGTCCCCACAGTGACACATCTCTCCGTGGCTTTCACACAGCACCACAAGTTTGTCACACTCCTCATAGGAAAATACATAACATCTCATTTACACAAACACATATATCTGGTTCTGTTGGGACCATAATTTGTGTCCCCTTAGTGACAAAAGTCCTTATGGATGAGTGAGCAGTTAGGTAAAAGTCCCCACCAGATAGAAAAACATACGCATGAGTGCACACACACACACACACACACACACACACACACACACACACACACACACACACACACACACACACACACACACAGAGGGCAATAGTCCACTTGACTTGGAACTTAAAGAGTTTTTTTTAAAGATGACAAATGATTTGACAATGCAACGCACGACACAGTTATACTGTCATAAACGGGCCATTTTTAAAATAACAAGCAGAAAATTTCTTGGCCTTGAGGACACAGAAATGAGGTTAGCTTTAATTTGAAATTGGGTTGAAGCAGTATCATGGCAAGCATGTTTGATCGCGCCTTTGAAATGGGATTATCAAACCCATTCAGATGGGCATTCCTCAGGCAGCCAGAGTTAGAAGTCTACCTCCTCCTATTTAAAGAGCCAACAAGAGCTTTGTGAAGTTTCTGCAGTTTTAAACTTTTTGCATTAAGTGACTCAGACGCACACATACACTCATATAGATGACGTCACAAATATACTATATTCCCAATCACTAACCTCCCAGCAGGGCTGCTGTCTCCACTCCAACATACTTCAGTTTTAGACCGAGGGACGGGAGGGTGCAGCATTTCCGCAGCCAGCGGGTCTGCGTCATCTTCGTCCCGACCAACCCACTCCCCCACCACCCGAGGGCGCAGAACTGCGTTATATCCCACCAAGTTCTAAAACAGAAATGCATATTAAAACAGCAGGAAGTAGCAGACAGAAAGGGAAAGATTAAAATGAAAAGAAGCAGAGGTAGAGGTGAGAGGAGTCAGAGAACGGCTATGAATCTCTATCTTAACACTGTGTACTTTTAATTCAAAAAGAAACCCTCAATTATAATAATAATGGAGTTTTTTAAAATAATAAAGTTCAGAAAAAGAGCAGAGTGTTGTCTGATATCTGCCTCCCAAGCAGCCTCTGTACACATTTGCACGATTCAGTGAGCAAAAAGCAAAAATACTTATCCTCATCTTTCACAAAATCCAGAAGGAATTCTATTGTCTCTGCACGATCTCAGCAGGTATTTAGTATTCATTCCCTGTTCTGTTCCACAGAAAAGAGGGAAAATCTCTGGACTATAAGCCAAGGATGTTGGACATGGTGCGCTGAGCAAAAAGTAAATTCCCTGTCAAAACATATGCTGTATTTCTCATCCAGAGCCAAGATTTTCAAAATCGATCTGTGCATCTCCAACCTGAGCAGCCGCTGCACTATTGTGCCGGGAGGGAATTTGGGCCAGGCGAGGACAAAGGCAGAGCGCAGACAAAGCTTTGCGAGTAAGATCCACAACGAAGGGGCAAGGGAGAGGGAGATGGAGGACATGCTTTACTGAAGTATCACTCTCGAATATCAATCCCGTGAGATAGCAGTTCATCATCAGAAAAAGATGATGTCTGTGCTGCTCTGTTGAGCAAGTGAAAGTTAAGAAATCTGGCTCTTTTATTTGATGTAGCATGAGTAATTCAGCAGGGGTGATGAGAGGAAGACCAAACTAGTGTCAATATAGGAGTGTTTTATTTTCCCGGCTAGTTAATATCTACCTGGTCAAGCTCATCAGAGATGGCGATGCCTGAGGAAAGAAGAAAATGGTTTAAAGCACAGAAGCATCTAATACGGTTTTACATCCCAGCTTAGGCTGCTTCTAAGCTTAGTGGTGAGCCTGTAAGATAAGCTGCTCTATCCGGTTCCTTCTCGGGATTAACAGTGACATTTACAGAAAGGTCTAGACTTTAGTTCTATATGTTAAGATGTATTAAACGCTGCTGAGTATGATGTAAGCATGCATTCTGCTGAGTTGCAGCCACTCACTGCGCGACAGGCTCTCCAGGGCCTTGCCGAGCTTCTTGCTCTCCTGCAAAATGTGGTTGAGCTCATCAAAGTCCCTGCTCTCCCTCCAGTCCCAGGGCGGGTACTCGATTGACCGAGGCACTGGACATCACAGAAGCAAACATGCAATTTACGTCAGCACATCCGAAAGCATCGCAGATCCACTTTGTGTGAGTATTATGAAATGGATGAGAACTGACCCTATGAAATGTCCAAATAACCATACTACATTCTGCAAACACCCCTGCTTGACTTTCTATTTGCCCAAACACGACTTTGTGAATTACTGCAGGATGAAGTGAAATGGAAACTTTGGCAGAAAAGTCACAGAGTGGCTTCCAGAGGCAGAGAGCTGACTGGACTGAGGCCAGGGGACAGTGTCTGTCAGTCTCTTTGATTAACAAAATAACTCAAACAGGAGCAGGAAATGACCCACATATGTTACTGATGTCCTGCTCGCGTCCCCTAGCAGCGCTCCAAAGCTTTTGGCGGCCTCACTCAGACATGCAAGGAGCAATATTGTTTTATAGAGGACGGATTACTCGTTCATCCATATCAAACGTTCTTATGCTCAAACACAGCTGGACGGAAAATCAACATCAAGTAACAGTGAAGACGTGCCAAAAATGTGCCGGTTATCTACCAGCCTTCAGTCTCTGAAAACACACTGAAAACTATAGAGAGGAATTTGGATTAAACTTGATGCATGTTTGAATGAAACTAATATGTCCTGACAGGTGCAGAAAGTGAGTGGTCTGTTTCCCCACAAATAAACTCGAGGGCGAATATTTGTCAGCGCTGCAGCTACAATCTGCCTTCCCCTACACTTGTTCGCTCTGACTAAGCTGCTTGGCATTCTAACAACTGTAAACACACAGCAAATTCATCTGCCAAACACAGACATGGGGGGGGGAATCATTACTTCTGGCAACGAGTGTCTTTTTCTCCTATGCGTGGCTCTGTGTGATGGTGCTGCCCCAGCAAAGGGCTACGCTGCATCTTAATAGCTTAGATTAGGGGTTAAGAATTCAATTCTCTTTGGATCTGCCCATTAAACTATCAGTCAGGCACAAGTGAGGCCAAACCCTTTGCCAAACAGTGCACAGAAAAGGAAGAGGGATTCATTTTGATCAGCGTGTGAGTGGACCTTTAGTATGTTTTTGACAGCTGTTGTACCAGCTTCCTGCATACAAACTGTGCAATAATGATGAGAGACAGTTCTTTTGATTTCAATTTTTCATAAGCTGTGCATGCCAAAACACCTATGCATGTATTTTTAATGTGATTTGACGTTAAATCTAGCTTTGAAAGCTTCTTCCTCTGAAGGGGGCAACAGGAATGCTGCTAACACACCAAACCTCGATGCTGATGCACAGTTCTCCCGTTCACTCGTCCTCTTTTATGGACTTCACGAGGTTCTCGTGACACCCTCATCCTCTTGACTGTGAGCAATGCTCCTAACATAGTCTAAAATAGACTCGGTCTGGCAATGACAGAGCACAGCGTTACATTATTGAAGAAGTCTGTGGCGCCGCTTGATACCCATTTGACCTATTCTTATTGCCTCAATTGCCATACTTCATTCTAACACCACAGCTAAAATTAACCCAGGAAAATCATTTTCATATATTCTGCATGAACCCAAGAAATCTGTGAAGAATCCCTCTTTAGAGTGCGTAGAAGTGCACGGCTGTAAGTAAGTGTAGGCTATAATAGGTGGTCCTTAATAATGAACTCGTCTGCAGGGCTCTGAAAGGCTGGAAGGAGGACACTGGACTATACAGTGTGACTAACTTTAATTAGACATAATTATATCAAATTTAAAATGGAGATTAAAGTCAATGGAGCGTGTAATTGGGAAACAACCGATATCAACAGGTATCAAAACAGTGCTGCTTCACATTTAAAAATGGATTATGTGTGTCCGGGTGTGCCTGTGTAAGTAACACAACCAGGAAAAAATTTAAGAAGTAAAGATTAAATAAAAATTAAACTTACGGGATTTGGATTCTGGTGAAGGCGGAGAGATACTTGAAACAGCAAGGTCGCTCTTTGATTTTTTTGGCTTCTTTGGGTGAATTTGCCACGGCTTTTCATAGTTGATGTACTCCCTCCGAGTGTTTTTGTTTTCTGTCAGGAAAGAGTCTGAATTTATGTTCAGCATATCATAGGACTATTTATCATGAACTGGGGGTACTATGTGCAAAGGCAAATACTTTGTTCTTCTTGTGTGTGTCTACCGCAACCATAAATGACAGCAAAGCACAGGAGACATTTTTGCTAAAATGAATCAAGGGCAAATATATTAAACTCTTTTTTTTTTTTTTTTGCGGGGTAGACAGGGAGTTTTGTTCGTCCAGGTCCGAGAGAAAGGCAGGGGACATGCAGCATACGTATAATGTGTTTGCATGTGTGTGTGCACCAACCTGGGGAGCTCTGTGCCCAAAGTGCAGCAGAACCTGAGAAAGCTCTGTGTAGCTTGCCAGGGCTGTCTTGCTTGGTCTGCAGGTGATCAATGAGAAAAGGGATTGGATGGTCTGGAGTCTCAGTTATCAATTTGGTCATCAACTCCTAGAGAAGAGGGCAAAGCAGAGAGCCATTAGAGCAAAAGTGGCACTGCAACAAGAGTGAGAGAGCAGGTCCGAGCAAGCGGAGTATCGGCCATGCTGATGCTGAGAAACACAATCAATCCCTAGAAGCATCCCAGGAGTTTTTTGGAGTTGAAATCACTCAAAGCAAGTGTGCGCGTCCAGCAAGTGGAGATTTATACCAAGCCCGGTATCACAGTCTTTAAATAATAAAAGATGGTACTAGTTTTTCCTTACAGACATGGAGCAGTTCCCTTCCGTGTCTATTAATAAAACATGTCTGCAAGCTTGTTAAAAATCAGATGAGGCAAATAAGTATACAAGTAAATAAACACTGCAGGAATCAAGGGTGTTCTTCAGCAGCCTTTTCACTGAGTAACATTTGAAATATGAAGGGCAATTTTTTAAAAATGCTCTAGAATACCAGAGAAAGCAAAAAGAAGGCGCAAGTTTTTCTCCAGCATCACATCTGGTGATTTTCCAAAGTTTGCAGCCTGAAAGTGTTATTCTGACCACGTGCACTTGCACAGTTGAGAAGGTGTTGAGCAATCGTTGTGTTAGTATTGTGTATAATACACTTTCAGCAGGCCCACAGTGACATATGGGACTTTTCAAGGTATTCTGAGGGTTAGATTTCATTTTACTGACTTATTAGTCTGCCAATAACTCAGTATATATTTGTAATCTCTGATAAGTATGAGAAGGTGGCCCCTTCCTTTCTTTTTGAGCTGCATTTGACAATGGTACACAGACTAATAGAAATTTTTAAAGTATGACTAGCGTATATAGCGCCACGGAGACCTGACTCAGTGCTGCACAAAGCTCCACGGATATGATGATGGCAGCCAGTTATAAAATTCAATATATCACCCATGCCTAGATAGTTTTGACACTTAGAGAGGAACTTGGCATTGGCAGTCTGACAAATATAAGATGCACAACCCTGTGAATGTCACAAAAGTGCACAACTCCTAGTTGTGCTCCTGACTTGGTGCACTGCAGGCTCTTCCAATCAGTTTGACACCGAAACAATTATTTACTCACAGCTTAAGTTAAAAATGGAAACCGCACGGACACAAGTGGCGTGCACAAGACTTCCGCGGATGGTTGTTCACGTAGAAAGAGCGCCCAGATATTACATGTAAGCATAAGGATAAACTCACATTTTTGACTAAGGACATTTTGAGAAAAAAGCAGCAGAAAATGAAGAAGTGTACCTCAGAAAAAAAAGAGAGAAAAACACACTGGTGGGAGTCACAGTAACAGGTGCTGAGGGTGGAGGCCATATCTCACTCTGCATGCTAATTTCAAATCCTTCAAACGCATGATGGGAACTGCTTCAAACGAACGATCATGTTCAAACTAATCACGTCCTACCCGTTTACAACACATTCCCTCCTTGTACACACACACTGACAAAAAACACAACAACAGAAAAATATTAACACTGCCCAAAACACTTCTTAATACACTAGCTACGATACAAATGCAAGCGCAGAAGTGGGTTTTATTTTTCTTCACCTACAGAAAACCACAGAGCGAAACTCTTATATCACAGCTATAGGGAATAGCAGTCCCTTTGAAGATGATGGGTGCAGTGAAATGAGCATATGTCTGCTCCTGTCAGTGTATTTGTGTGTGCCGCTGCGATACGGTATGAGAACGAACTCTGTTTGACCAGTTTAAGCCAGTCAGAGCAGAGCTCAGGCTGACTTCAGGATGACTACTGCAGTGAAGCAGAGAAGCCATTAGTGGACTGCAGTGAATTGGCAGTAATGTATGGATAAAATGAGTGCGTCGGTGTGTATGTGTGTGTTTAAGTATTTGTAATAGGATACACTGTAGAGTTGCATACCTAGCAGAATTGTATTTTCCTACGCTTTGATGGCTGGTATGCATTTGCCAATATGAGTTTATTTGCATATGTGCGTGTTGTTGTTTTTTTAAGAGGTAGAGACAGGATAAAGAGAGCCTGCCTGTGTGTGTATTACAGCTGGCTAGTCTTGGCTGCACTATGTGTGCTCAGAAAGCTAATCAGGTAATTGGTCAGGGGGACATTCCTGCTCTGCCCCAGTGTCTACAGCAGCTCTGACAGGAAACAGCATGTGAATGGATAAACAGGGCGCATGCTGAAATGTCTCTCTGTAAAGGCCTAACAACACAGGCAACTCACGCCACTGTTTGCAGGAGTAGCACCACATGAGAGAATAGCGCACCGAGAGTTTAGCAAAGCAGCGCTCCTCACCATAGTCTAACAGTTTAAAACCTCTAAAAGTGGCACAAGGCAAAAGTTGTAATTACTGCTTAGTAGTTCCTGTGGGTAATTTAACTAACTTACCAACAGGAGGTCTATTACTGAAGGTTGTAATTTGGAAGCAAATGATGAGAACTCTGTTAAGTGCCCCAAGTGTTCATTTCTTTTTGCAGGAAAGGGGTAAAGGGAAGACGGTTCTTAGTGCGATTGTGCGTTCACAGGGATGCACAGACAAGAGAAGGAAGCAATGATGCAAAGAAAGAAAAGATCTCATAGCTTGCAGCTACATGTGCATTCTGCACACGTCTGTACTGTACAGCACTCTTGTGTCAACGTGTATTGATTGCACGCACTACAGTGTTCTGCTTCCAGCATGACACATGGCTGTTTAATGAGCTAAAGCACCTCTTCGTCCTTTACCATCTACAATGACAATTGTAATAAGGCAAAACCTCACACTGTAAGCAGCAGATCCCACTAAATCTGCACGGTGGATATGCAAGCATTTGCATTGCTCACGTATGCAGCGGAGCAAAGTAACCGTGTCTGACACTTTCACGTTCTATGGTAATGAGCTGCTTTAAATAACACCAGTCTTGTTTTGATAAGCACATGCTGTTAGACGGGTAATCACATTTCCTTCGACAGGAACCACAATAAGATGTAGACTCAAATTTGGGTCAACATTTTTCGGTGCAAGCTGACTTTAATACTATTTGGTTTGGACTTACTTGCACCAGCAGAACATCATCCTTAACGTATGGTTTTATATGTGTGAGAGAGATTTAAAGAGTGCCCAAGAGTTTCGGTCTGTGAAGCGGTGATCTCTAAGCAGCCCAACAGGTGGCGGAAGCAACTGAGACAGTGGAGACTCAGTTCGTATCTGTGCAGATGCGTCGTTTGGCGGGATATCTGCGTGCCCCAGGCAGTTTCGTTCGGTCACAGTAATTGACAAGCTGTCAGCCAGCCAAGAGACACCCATGTCCTTGGAAGCTCTCGAGGACTCCCTCCGGGGACAATAGCAGTCATGATACGCTCACTGATGCCTGATACCCCACAACTTAAACAAACTCCCTGAATTAAAAGTGGAAAGAAGTCGAAAATAAGAGAGGAGGGCAAAGAGAAAGTTCTGGAGGTGGTGCACGAGTAGCAGGCTGAGACAGATTTGACGGTGGCATTGAAAGAGGACAGGAAGAGAGAACTCTACCAGGGTGGTGGGTAAGGACAAATCTTCAAACTCTGGTGACACAGAGTATCCACCCTGCTCAAGTGTCGGTTGCAGTATAATAAATTTTGCCAGTCCCAAGGAGTTCATTTCCATTTGTTACCTTGGACACTTGGATAATGATTTCTCTTGTGCAAATCAAAGACGGAATCGCAAAGAACACGGACAAGAATAAAAAAGGCTGAAGTAAAAATAAAAAAAAACACCAGATACCGACAGAGCCAACGCTGCTTCACAAGCTCTGTGATTTAAGCGACTTTGCCTAAGCTTTAGTTCTTTTTTGTCAACCTGTGAGCTGATGAATTTCCTCCTCAGCCATTGTAGACTCCTGGTGGACTATTTGAGCTATGGATTTATGGATACGAGGAGACACTGAGCCTGCAGCACACAACACTTACTCTGCATGAGTCGGCTTTCTGTGATGTCTGTGTTCCAAAGAGGAAGTATATCAATTCACATATCTACTGAGACAAGCGCAGTGTGTCTGTATTGCAAGTATGAGGGTAGACATAAGAGGATTTCAGCAGTATAGAGCACATTTACACATTTTATTTCAGGCTTGCTTGAATAAAATCAGTGTCACCTTCAGCATGTTCTGGACTTGCAGAAACAGCTCCTCCAATACTCCCTGGAGGGCTTCCTGTCCCTGTCACCTATAGAAGAGGCCAATGGCTGCCAATGATTTACTTATTCTTTCTGTTAATAAAATATGTCAATGCAAAGTCATATCACAGGTTACTTAAGGTGACATGTGAGTTTCTTTATAGTTCAGAGCCAACGTAGATGAAGACACGCAGAGGGAGAGCAAGAGATGTGCCGGTGGAAGACATCCAAACCCTGAATAAGCAGGAAGGCAAGAGCAGAAGAGATCATGTGGAAGAGGAGACTACAGGAGAGGCAATGTCACCTGGCCAGACTGGCACCAGCAGATAAAACTGCTCTCGTCTTCCTCGCTGATATGCACCCTTCACTTGCTTTGTCCTTGCGGAGTATTTGCTGATTATGTTTGACCGGTTTGACTGTAGGGCGCTGTTGGATTGACAAAATTTGCCAAAGCAATTTTCAATCAAACATCTTCCAGTATCACATCTTTCCCCTTTCCATTTGCATTTGTTTCTCCTGCAGTTTAATTTGTGCCATTTACTGTTCTCTGTCACTTCTGCACTTCTGCAACTAGGGAGAGCAATTATTATCACCCTCTATTTATTTCCGTATGGTTTCCGATACTGTTGGATTAATAACAATAAAATAATCGTGTAAATGCTAATTTGCTTATCATCTTTTTGGTAATTATCTGTGGTGCTTGCTGTGTTCCACAGGAACAGATTTATTCACAACATTCATACGTGACTTAACCTTTTCAAAACCTACATGACGATCTTTCTGCTGCACAGCAATCAAGTAATTAAAATAGAAAACGAAACGCACAGAGGCCTTGCTATGACTATCACTGCATTCAATGTATTTTGTGTTCTATATGAGAAACACTTTTTCTTCACAAAGC